AAGAACATGGTCTTTCCTTTGTGCAGGCAGCGTCCTGGAAGATGAACACCAAGGCATGGTGTTCACAACCTGAGCTGGGCAAAGGTGAGCACACTTCTGATTTCACCTGCTTTCTGGAACTCAGTCTCCCCCGCCCCAGTGGCATTCAGATGTGCTCTCCATGGCAATGTTCATACAGATTTCACAGAACATATGTTTGAGCTAAAAGGTCCCTTAGAGGTCAGTTTCTCCTGCTCCCTACATTTTACAGAGCAAGGAGTAGATACACAGAGAGGACACCACATGTCTAGAGTCACACAGCAAACCAGATACCCAGCCAAGTCTTTGCCTTTCTGGCACCATTCCTACCCCAGGAGCAGAAAGCTGAGCTCTGCAGAACGCATTTCTTTAACCTTTTTTTTTTGGAGGTGGGGCGGGACAGGGAATTGAACTCAGGATCTCAGGCTTGCTCAGCAGGGGCTGCACCACTGAGCTAAATCCCTGGCCCCAGAACTCACTTCTTGGGAGGTGCCCTGGAGCAGCTGAGAAAGGGACTGGCCTTTGGGGGCATTGTCATAAGCCTGAAGGCCAGCCCTTTCTGCACCATCACGTCATCCAAGGGTAGCCTATCTGCAGCAGCTGCCTTACCCCTTCCACGGGTGATTGGCGTTCTGGAACAGGTCAAGAAAAAGTACATGATGGGGGACTACTCTATCAGGTCTCCCTGGAGACCATCTTCCTGACCTTCATCAGCCCTGTGTCCCCTACTCAGGTTAAAGGGCAAGCAGAGCCAGCTTGCCCCTCACCACCCTCATAGGACCTCTCGGTCTTCCTCATCTCCTCCCTTACCACCTGCTCTTTCCCACACTCCCTCACAACCTCCCTCAGAACCTGTCTGTAATAAAGACCCTGGTGCACGCTAGCCCAGTTTAAATGGCTCTGGAGCTGCTACGGGTACAGAGGTGAGCTCTGCACAGGGCTGTCCCCCAGGTTGCAGTTTGCAGAGTGGAACGGCAGTCACTTCAGAGGCCTGATGAAGAACCCAGGTGTGTTTAATGCCCTGCATTCCAGCTGGGTGGCCTGGGGTCTCATTAAGACTTGGCTGCAGGAGCAGCCTCAGAGAAACACCCTGCATGTGCTTTTAAAAAAGGAGTGGCCCAGAGGTGATACAGTAGCATTCTTGACACTGCCTGATGCTCTGTGCTCTGCATGCACCCTGTCATGTGACTATACCACCCATAGGCTCAGATGTAAGGGGCCTGTCCTGGGACTACCGCTATGAAATGCCATACCTTGGTGACACCATTGTTTATGGGCAAGAAGTCTGCAGGGCTGAAGGGACAGCTCATCCAAATCTACTGCCCTCTTTCTCTGGAATCCACCTGCCTAGACAGGTGGCCCCTCCAGTGCACCTCTGCTTAAGTATGCCACGCCATCAGCAAAATCATGGGCAAGGTACATGGGCATGTCCATACAGCTGCACTCAGACATCTGGTGAGCAGCATGAAGCTAGAAATAGAGAAGGGCTGACTGCAGATGGGGGCTGAAGCCAGCTTTCCATGTGCCATGACATTGCAGAGCAGAGCTTCAGAGTCCCCACATTCTAAATTCAAATCTGGCATCCCAGGTTATGACACTATTCTTCTCAAGGTACAAGAGGAGAACATATTGACACACTTGCTAGCCTAGATCGATTACACTTTTTCTTTTTTGGAGGGCAGGTAGCGGTCAGGGTTGTTGCTGTTTTGAGACAGGGTCTTTCTAGTCTAGGCTGGCCTTGAACTTGGTATGTAGCCCAGACAAGCCTCAAACCCTTGATCCTCTTGCTCAGCCTCCCGGGTGCTGGAGTTACAGGTACCACGTCAGACTAAATCACCATCTTTCAATATTTAAATATTTGGATGTAGGGACACTCATTTATCCTCTTCCTTTGCTCTGGTAAATGTCAGAAGCCTCCATTTGACCATATGTCAGTTCGCAAAGTACACATTTACTGTGTGTCCTTTCCCAGATGTGTAAACTGAGACCTAGAAATACTCAGCAGCTTTCCAGAACCCCATGCCAAGATTCAATTCAAGCAGAATTCTCCAAGTGGGATTCACAACGACCAGCAGTGGGAGCATCTAGAAACTTGGTAGAAATATGGATTCTCAGGGCTGGGGGTATGTAGCTCAGTGATAGTGTGCTTAGCATGCACCAGGCCATGGATTCAATCATCAGCACCAGAAAGGGCAAGAAGAAAAAGAAAATAAACGTAGGCACTTCTTGCTGAGTCAGAAATTGGTGAGTCACACCCCGGCAAGTCATGTCACTAGACCCGTAACAGATGCTCAGATGCAGCTCTATTGCCTGGATCCCCTGGGCCAAGGCCTGTGCTCTAGCCATACATGCAGGTAAATGCTGGGTGCACCTTTATCACAAGGATAGTATCCTCTCCTCTGAGAAGTGTTCCATCAGACAGCCTGTCTCTACCAAGGTCACCCTGCTACTCCCCACAGCCTCTCAGCTTCCCTCCCTTGTGTAGATGCTGGCCTCTGCCCCTTCTCAGCCAAGCTTTAAGAAACATCTTCCACAGCCCTTGCCCATGTATCTCACAGCCTCTCCCCAAAACAACAGTATCAGCATAGCCCTGGTTGCCACACTCATTGGCTTCTTGGTCCTTTTTTCAGGAGACTGGTCTGTGCTACTTCACACTGTCCCTTGATTCCCTGTGACAGAAGCCTCCCTGGACCTTCACTCACAGACTCTAGTCCCTCCTTCAGCCTCCTCTGGGTGCTACTCCCCTCCTCTGAATGACTGGGTCCCTTGGGCTCCCAACTTACTTCATTTTCCTTATTCTCCCTGCATACCCTGCCACCCCTGAGTTTTTTTCTCATTCACCCCAGGCCTTCAGCTGCCACCTTATACTGACAGGAACTTTGCTGAGCTCCCAAGAATGAGTCTTTCCAGAATTTTCTCATCCTCTGGAAACCACATGTGCCATGCAACCTGTGAGAGGGGGCCATTACTCCAGTTTGGTCTTGGGGCCCAGCTGGAGTGCAGCGGGTGGGGTCAGAGGTGAGGCATAGCTGCGGCACCACCTACGGTTGCAACCAAGAGAACACCCAGCCTCTTGACAAATCAGGTGGTTAGGGCCGGGCACTGTAGGTGGCGCATGCCTATAATCCCAGCACTCAGGAGGTTGAGGCAGGAGGACTACCCAGAGTTTGAGGTCAGCCTGGGCTACTAAGTGAGTTCAAGGCCAGTCTGGACTACATATGTAGCCCAGGCTGGTCTTGAACTCACAACAATCCTCCTGCCTCAGCCTCCCAAGTGCTGGGATTACAGGCATGTTCCACCACGCCTGGCTGGGACTCTGTCTCAAAAAAAAAAAAAAAAAAAGCAGTTAGTACACAAAGAACAAAGTAGAGCTAAAAGACAATTGGGGACTTTTGAGTAGCCAGGGATGCTGTTTTGGGATTTTTTTGTTTGTTTGTGTTGTCTTTTTGACACAGGGTCTCCCTACGCAGTTCAGGCTGGCCTTGAGCTCACTTTGTAGCCCAGGCTGGTATCAAACTTGGAATGATCCTCCTGCCTCAGCCTCCTGAGTGCTGAGATTACAGGCATGAGCCACCATACCCAGCTGGGCTGCTGTTATAGCTCCTAAAATGTGAAGTGTGCAAGTTTGATCCTTGTTGTAGTTTGTTAATCCCTTCAAGGTGCTACCAAAAGCGAACAGAAATGGCCCTACCCTACTGGGACAGATAACAAAGTAACATGGTGCAAGGGAGGATACAGTAACAAAATGGGAAACATATAACCCACGGGGACAAAGAAGAGACAAATGAGAAATCTGTGGATCCTTGTGTGAAAACCAGGAGCAAGGAGGAACAGGCTCCAAGCTAGCCTACCTCCACCTGCTCTTTCTCCCTCTGGGTCATGGTGGAGGAAATAATCCCACCTCTCAGGCACTCTGGCCCTTATCTCTCCGGGATCTTTGGTCCCCCCTCCCTTTTTTGGTTTTGTTTTGTTAGACAGGGTCTCCCTATATAGTTCAGGCTGCCCTTGAACTCACTATGTAGCCCAGGCTGACCTCGAACTGGCAGCAATCCTGCCTCAGCCTCCTGGATGAGTGTGCCACCACGCTTGGCCTTTCTGGGGCTCTCTTATCCACTATGCTCTCCTATCCCGTGCTGTGATCAGATTAGCACGGGGCCTTGACCCTCCCAGCTGCTACATGTGTACTCAGCACTGGTCAGGTATCCTAAGGGGTTCAGTGAGCTTCAGAGACAATGGACTGTGAAGGCTGATCCAAGCCAAGGGAGAGGGGAGAGGGAAAGGCCTGGGCCCAGGCTCCCTGGCTTCCCCCAGAAGACTGATCATCCACTCCGATGGCTCAGCCATGCGACACTGCCTGGGCATGGCAGCCCTCAGTAAAATGTGCAGGTGGTGAAGATGGGAGGTTGGGGACAGTCGGACAGCGTGTAGTCAAGCCGAAGGTAAGGGGCTTGCCCTGTGGGCCCAAGGTGAACATTTCACCGAAAGGGATCAAGCCCGCTTAAACTGAAGCCTCGGCCTCTGAACTCTGCACGACACAGTTCGCGCCGGGACCTCTAGGTCGGGTCTCCGCCGGAAGCACGCGGCAGGGGGAAAGGGCCGTGCAGGCGGAAGGTGGAGGTCGGGTCCGGGATCCGCCGCGCGCGGACAGGGGTCTCTCACATCAGGCTTTACCGGGTCCTATATGAGGACACTATGCAGTTCTCTCCGTGGTCCCGCCCCCCCTGGGCGCTTAGCCTCTGAGCGGCCCAGCACGCCCACCCCGGCCGGACCCCGCAGGTTCCCGGCTCAGCCAGGGAGGCAGGGCGGCTGCGGGGATTCGGCTAATCCAGGGCCCGCGTTCGAATTCGCGTCCTGGTGCGGCCAATCGCAAGAGGCCGTGGCGGGTGGGGCAGAGGGCGGGGTCCCGGGCTGGCCAACTGGAGTGCCCCGATCATTTGAAAACGAGGCGGGGGCGGGCGGCGGGCAGCGGGCAGCGGGCGGGGTCTGCGCTTGCGCTTGGCGGCTGGCGCTGTACCCCGGCGCGGGCGCGCTCGAGAGAGATCTCGGACGGTGGCAGTGGCAGTGGCAGCTCAGCGATGGGGAGCGGCGGCGGTGAGTACCCGAGGGCCCCCAGCGGAGGGAGGTGCAGGGGGCCGAGGTCTGTGGAAGTTGGGCCAGTTCTCTTCCACCGCAGTGCAAGATCGTCCCGGCCTGGTTTAAATGCCCGCGGCTTCTCCTTGCGGGTTTTCTGCAGAGCAAACCGTAGTGGCTTCTTCTTGGAATCAGGTGCCTTTGGGACGAGTGGCGGGGCTGCGCTTGCACCCACTCACCTGGTGCCCACCCCAGCAAACAGATCCGCGGTTCCTGGCGCGCTGGAGGGCCAGATCGACGAGGCACATAATTCCACTTGTTATTGTAGTGGTTATTAAACATCTCCAAGTATCTGTTCTAGAGCGAGGGAATGAGGAAATTTTTATGGTAACATCCGTAGAATCTTTGCATATGTTTTGCCCTGGGTGGATGTTTGGCTTTGAAGTACGTTTAGTTACTGGCAGGAAGACCCTAGGTCGAAGGGAGACCGCTCCCTAGAGAATCCCTGGGGAGGGATTCATGTAGACAGAAAAGCAGTCCTCAGGATGGTAAGGATGAGCAAAAAGACGTGAATTTGTATGAGGAAAGCAGGATCTTAAGGTTCCTGTCGGAAGACTTCCATTTTTCTATGAAATAAGAGACAAAGGTATCTGCCTAGAATGAGGAAGGTGTTGCTAGAGGAGCTGGAACCACCCTGCTGAGTGCAGAGGGCTTGACCTTTCCTGTTGGCATCTCTGTGGGTCTAGGTCTTGTGTTGAGATTTGCACCACCTTACTGGGTAGCCGTCAACTCCCATTTTACAGAGGAGGACACTGAGACTCAGTGGCTGGGCAGCGCTGACATCTGCTCTGTTGAGCCTCCAGGTCCTTTGCTTTCTTGCAGGGCTCAGCCCTCCTAATTGGGCTCCAAAAGCAGACTCTTCAAGCTCATAGAGCTTTATTGAACACTATGCTTTTTTGTCATGTGAAGCAAAGATAACCAGCAAGGGTCTGAGGGTTTTTTTTAAGAATGGCTGCTTTTTTCCCTTCCTGGTTGTCATGTAGGCTCTGAATCAGAAAGTTACCAGTAGCCAAGTTACCTGGTAACTCCTCTTTACCATGAATATTAAATACTGAACAAATAATGATGTCTTCCAAAATTCATATAACACTACTCCTGTATTTAATCTTTGGGACATGTCAACTCCTTCTGTTGTGGTGCAGGGGTAGTAACTGTTAAATCATTTTCAGGTATGACTTTTCATCGAGACTTATGAGTTTTTCTTTTTCTTTTTCTTTTTTTTTAAGTAATCCATTGTAGGTGTGCCAAGTGTTTCTGTTACCCTACCAAGAGAAGAATAAGGAGGAGACCGCAAAACCTATCCATCTTGAATCTACCAGAAGATGTACTCTTTCACATCCTAAAGTGGCTTTCTGTTGGAGACATCCTTGCTGTCCGAGCTGTAAGTCACCAGATGAAAGCAATACCAGTGCTGGCCTTGTTGATTATCCCATCAAGGTCTCAGAATCTTTTTTTTTTTTTTTTCTTCAATCTTTTTGAGACAGGGTCTCATTATGAAGTTCAGGCTGGCCTTGAACTCACTTTGTAGCCCAAGCTGGCCTTGAACTCACAACGATCCTCCTGTCTCAGTCTCCTGAATGCTGGGATTACAGGCATATGCCACCACATCGGGCAAGGTCTCAGAATCTTATATGTCAGAACCAACTTTGGCTACAAAAGAGGGCAAAGGAAACAAGGGTGATATTGTTAGTAATGTTGCAATTCCAGGACAGCATGCTAAAGTTCACCTTCATTCATTATAATGTTTATTTCAATAGAGAAAGTATCCTTTTGTGACAGTAAAGTTTGTGTCCCTTAAGACTTAAGATCAGCACTCCGGAGGCAGGATTGCTGCAAGATCAAGGCCAGCCTGGGCTACAAAGTGAGTTCAAGGCCAGCCTGAATGCATAGCAAAACCCTGTCGCAAAAAGACCAAAAAAAAACAAAAAAACAAAACAAACAAAAAAAAACCATAGGCTGGAAATGGTGGTGCATGCCTATAGTCCTGTCACCTAGGAGGCTGAGTCAGGAGAATTTGAAGTTTGAAGCTACAGAGTGAGACCCGTCTAAAAGAAAAAAAAAAGTATTACAAATAATTCTTGAGGACAAATCCCATGTAATATGCAATGCCAAAATGAACTGGAGGAATTATTTTGGAACCACTGCCTCACTCTGGTGACTTATGCTAGGATATATACCAAACTGATAGGAAATCTCCTACCAGAATCCCTTCTTGGCACCCAGGACCTCCTCCATTATATTTATAATACACTTGTGGAACTCCTAGGGTTCTGGATTCTTTATAGCAATGAAAACTTTAGCATTTAAAATGTTCACCTGTGTTCAGGGTCCTGTTCTGGGTCCTACCTGAGGCTGCCACCACAGATGTCAGTTTTTTCCTTGAGTCCCTGTGACCTCCAGGCCCCAGGTGTTTTTCCCACTAGCAAGGGCCTAGGCAGAGAAACACAGGCTAGCTCTCACTCCTGCCTGTTTCCATTTAGAGTTGGTTTTCCCAATTCTCGCAGGTATATTCCTTTGCAGAGCTGCCATTCACTCTTTCTCAATCCAGATGCTCATTCTTTTCTTCTGGGGCCATTGTGTTTCCCCTCTTAGAACATCAGAGAAACTCATTTCTGACCTCTGTTGTCTATACAGCATATGTCTGTCTTTGATACATAGAGACTGAATCTTTTACCGCTTGAGACTGGGCAGGAGACAGGATGACCTGAGTCTGTGATGTCCTCTTTCCAAGAGCCTCTAGGAGCAGGGGTTGGATGCAGTCCTTCAGTAACCCCCCTTGGTTTTCATTGCTCTGTAGGTTCACTCCCACCTGAAGTACCTAGTGGATAACCATGCCAGTGTTTGGGCATGTGCCAGCTTCCAGGAGTTGTGGCCTTCTCCAAAGAACTTGAAGCTCTTTGAAAGGTATCTCTGCACCTTGAAAAACAAATGGCTTGATTTCTCCCTACCTTTGGGCCCCTCCTATGCTAATCTGTGCCCCAAAGCACAGAAACTGTTTTATTGTTGCTGTTTCCCAGGACATTGGCTCATATCCCCAAGAGTGACCCAGGGTTGTAGACCTCAGCCATTGAACCATACCACATCCAGCAGCCTATGCCATCACCCTTCCTCCATGCCTGTTGTGCTTCCAGCAGGTCTCCCCTGGGCTGTGGCCTCTTCTTATGTGACTCAAATGTGAGTCACTGCCTGTGGAAGCTTTACTCAGCTTTCTTTTAGCAGCAACTTTTTGATAGTGGGCTTGCAGTCCTATTGCATTTCACCCACTGGGTGGTCCCACCCACCTGGAGTCATGCCCCAGAGAGAGGGCTGAAGGGGACACAAGGCCTCAAACCTATGAGGCCAAGTGCCAGCAACCAGGCCCACTAACCAGGAGCACTAATGGTTGGAACCAGGGGCTTCAGTTTGAGCCTTCTCATTTACCAAACTGAGAAACCATAATTTAGGAGGGAATCTTCCTGTCTAGGGTTTGCTCTGGCCTCATCCACTCGAGCTGCCAAAGATCCAGGTAGCTCGTACTGTGACCATTTTGCTGTGGCTGTACTTGAGCTGCTTCTGAATAAAATATGCATATTTCTTAGAAACATAATCCATGCATCAAATAGTCCCTCATTTAAAGTGATTTTTTTAGTATGTTCAAATTATGTAAATATCACCTAATTTTAGAACATCTTTAGCATTGTAAGAGAAATCTTGTACTTACAGCTGTCACCACCTGCCCCTTGCATGTACCTGTTCCACATAGGGCTTGCTTAAGCCCTAGGCAAACCTTAATTTATTTTCTGTCTCTGGATTTACCTCTTCTAGACATTTCATGTAATTGGAATGATAATATTTGGTCCTTTGTGACTAGCTTCTTTCACAGAGCATATTTTCAAGGTTTATCCATGTCATAACATGTAACGGATAACTGATACTTTTTTTTTTGGTACTGGGAATTGAACTCAGGACCTTACACTTGCTGGGCAGGTGCTCATGCCCCTGAGCTATATCCCCAGCCCCTGATACTTAATGTTGCATAAAAATTTTTTCAATTCAGAAAACACATATCCCAGCTTCCAGTGCTTTGGATAACCTTTGTGGTGTGAAATCCTGTGATGTTTGTGTTCTTAATGTCTTAGGGCTGCTGAAAAGGGAAATTTTGAAGCTGCTGTGAAACTTGGCATAGCCTACCTCTACAATGAAGGCCGTAAGTCACAGCCCCCTCACTATTGATCCTTTGGCCTTTTTGAGATATGTACCCAGCATGAGCATTTTGAGTTTTGGAGTCAGGGTCTTGCTATGTAGTTCAGGTTGGCCTTGAATTCTCGTATGTAGCCCAGGCTGGCCTCAAACTTGGAGCAGTCCCCCTACCTCAGCCTTCCAAGTGCTGGGATTATAGGCATGTGCTGCCATGCCCTACTTTATGAGCAGTTTAGGCCCTCTTCTTGCTATATATGATGGTCTACTTTACTGTCACTTCACAATAGCTTACGCCAAAAGATGCCTTGTGAGGGGAGATCCATTGATATTTTGACCTTAGTTCTAACAGTCATCTCTTTTAGCAAATCCTAAAATTGAACAGAGCCTCAGAATGAGGGCTGCTTGGACAAACCAGGCTCCTACCCTCAGTCTGATTAACAATGAGGTCCATGTGTAGACATGGTTTTTCCTTGGTCTCTGGTCTGTGCAACTTAGGGGTGGAGGTGTATGCCTGATTCCATAGGGTGTCAGTAACATAGGAAGCCATGGTTCAATGCAGGAGGCAGGGCAGAGCCAGCCTCAGTCAGATTCCTCTGCCCCCAAAGGCCAGGTGCTCCTTCAAAGATCCTTGTGAAGGCTCTCCTTCTGTTTATCTGCTCGGCACCTCAAGGAATAAGCCCATAGTCTGTTATGTAAGATACCAATATATAGGATGATTGGGTTATAGCCTTGCATTTCCTTGCTTCTGAAAGATCTGTTACATTGGGTTGGGGAATGTAGCTCAGTGCTAAGAGTGCTTCCCTATCATGCTTGGAGCCCTGGGTTTAATACCTAGTACCACATGTGGGGGGCGGTGGTGGAATCTGATGTTTTAGCTGGGTACTAGGGAACTACTAGGGAGGCTGAGGTAGGAGGATTGGAAGTTCCAGACCAGCCCAGGCAAATTAGTGAGACCTTATTTCAAAAAGTGATAGAGGGAGCTGGGGATATAGCTCGTGGCATAAGCACCTGCCTGGCAAGTGCAAGGTCCTGAGTTCGATCCCTGGTACCGAAAAAAAAAAAAAAAAAAAAAAGTGATAGGGATTGGGGCTGTTGCTCAGGGTGAAGTATCTTGGGTTCAGTCGTCATTACCATCCAAACAAAAAAAAGTCTAAAAGTCTGGTTCTTTCCTAGAGATAGGCCTTGCTCTTGACCAGCTGATAAGACTATTGCAACTGATGGAGTCCTTGAGCAGCCCTCTAAAGGCCCAGGAGAGCTGAGATTCTGCACCCATGTTTTCATCAGACGACAGTTCTGACTTAATTCATGTTACTACAGTTAATAAGTTCAGTGGGCTTTTTGTGGTATTGGGTTTTTGGTTATTCTTTTTTTTTTTGTCTTTTTGAGACAAGGTCTCTATGCAGTTCAGGCTGGCCTTGAGCTCTCTTTGTAGCCCAGGCTGGTCTCAAACTTGCAACGATCCTCCTGCCTCAGCCTCCCAAGTGCTGGGATTACAGGCATGTGCCACCATGCCGGACTTGGTTATTCTTTTTTTGAGATGGGATCTCACTAGTTTGCCCAGCTTGGTCTTGAACTTCTGAACCGCCTGCCTCAGCCTCCCAAGGAGCTAAGGTTACCAGCATGTGCCCCAGTGTCTGGCTTTTCTGGTGGTTTTTAATATATTTACAGAGTTATATATCCATTACACTGTCTAATTTTAGAACAGTCTGATCCCTGAAGGAACCTCTCCCCATTACCGCATTAGCTGGGGTCAGGCAGCAGGTTCCCGCAGGAGAAAATACAGGGCTGGCTCTGTGGGCAGTACCTTCTCTTGATGTTAGAATCCATGCTTCCAGAAGTATTCCAGCAGAGCCTGTGATCACAAAGACAACCGAAACCCATCTAAACTTAAACAGGAAGAAAGGGAAGTCACCTCCAACCTAGAGGAATTTTCTTTCCTAAAACATGAGCAACTTTTCTACAGGGGGTTTGAGCTTTTAGACTGTCCAGAAAAACTGGGGAACTGTCTTGATCCTATCCCCAGAGACATCCCTGGGTTCTCTCCTGTCTGTCCTGCAGTGTCTGTGTCTGATGAGGCCCGAGCAGAAGTGAATGGCCTGAAAGCCTCTCGCTTCTTCAGTCTCGCCGAGCGACTGAATGTGGGTGCCTCACCTTTTATCTGGCTTTTCATCCGCCCGCCTTGGTCCGTGTCTGGAAGCTGTTGCAAGGCTGTGGTCCATGAGAGTCTCAGGGCAGAGTGTCAGCTACAGAGAGTAAGTCCTGGTGAGGGGTAGCGCCTACGAGGCCACTCACAAGATCTGGGGACATAGAAGAACTCTTGGGTAGACCCTTTTGACCATGTAAAGTTGGTAACCTAGGGGAAGTGGAGGTGCAAAACATAAGTACAGATGTAGTGGAGGGACTGGGGTCTGGGGAAGATGGCAGAACTTTTGGTGAGTGTGTTGGCAGCTGGAAACTTGGGACTGAGGCTGCATAAAGCAGCCAGAGGTAAAGTTTGCTATTGGGGAATGGTCCTGTTCATGAGGTGAGCTGGCATGGGTGGAGAAGGTCCCTCCCCGACCCAAACAGTTCTCTCCTGGGATTCACACTTCTTTTTCCTTTCTTTTTCTTTTCAAGACTCATAAAGCATCCATACTGCACTGCCTAGGAAGAGTACTAAATCTTTTTGAGGTTAGTCAAGTTGTTCCCTGCGCTTGGAGTTTTTGCCTGGTTTGACACATCCTGGCGGGGATCCAGGAAGTATATGAGAAGCAACGGAAGGCATCAAAGGTCAATGGAAAAGCAAAACCCAGCCCTGAGAGGCCACACGGAGCTGGACAGTGAATCCTGGCTCCTTTCTCACTCCTGAGAGGGGAGGTCGCTGTTGGGTTATGGGACCTTACTCTTGAATAACTGTGAGAATTAAATGGGACACCATGGGCAAGAGGCATAGTAGAGCAAATGTAGCAGAAACTGAGCAGACAGTGCTGACATGTTTGTGTGATGGTTCTGCTAATGGTAGACTTCATCTGCTGGGGGGTTGGTTTATCCACTCTTGAGGTTTTAATAAGCTTTGTGGCTGGGTGTGGTTACATACGCCTGTACTCCCAGCACTCTGAAGGCTGAGGCAGGAGGGTCGTTACAAATTTAAGACCAGCCTGGGCTACAAAGTGAGATCAAAGCCTGCTTAAACTGCATAGTGAGACCCTGTCTCAAAAAAAAAGAAGAGACCAAAAAAATAAATAACCTTTTGATCATAGTGAACCCTCTTTGCATTAGATTTAAGGAAGATCATAACTTCTCAAAGTATTAGGGGTCCTGAGGGAGAATGAGGAGGTAGAGGAGCCCAGAGAGCCACCAGCTCCACTGTCTAGACTCAGGGCATTTCCTCTGGCAACAAGAGTGACGGGCAGGCCTTGGGTGACCCCCGGAGCTGAGCTAGGGAATCTGCAAGCCAAACGCATACACAAGTCTCCAGGAAAAACAGAGCCCCTGAGGCCAGAGCTCCAAGTCTGCACTTTTCCTTGGTTGTCAAGTGGTGTATCTTTAAAGAAGTCATTTCTGCTCTGATTTAGGTACCATGTCAGTTGTCACAGGGAGTTTGATTGCTTAGAAATGTGGAGGGGGATGAGAGAGGCCAGTAGAATGAATTAATATTGAGTGGAAGATAAGAAAACCAGCTTTTGGGCTGGGGATATAGCTCAGTGGCGTAAGCACCTGCCTGGCAAGCGCGAGGTCGCGAGTTCAATCCCCAGCACCGCAAAAAAAAAAAAAAAAAAAAAAAAAGAAAACCAGCTTTGTTTGGCCTTGCTCTAGGGTGAAGAGAAAAGGAAGCAGGCCCGTGACCTGTTCGAAGAGTCTGCTCGTCAGGGATGCTTGGCCAGCTCGTACCTCCTCTGGGAAAGTGACAGAAAGACAGATGTGAGTGGACCAAGCTTTGGGGAGAGGAGGAATCATGGTGGCCAAAGGCACAATCTCCAAACTGACCCTTGGTGGGACTCCGTTGGCAAAAGGAAGGACCCACTCACAGCTCCGGGGAGCTACTGGGTGGCAGGCTGCTGTCAGTACTCTCAAAATACCCACCATTGTTTGGAGATGAAGGCTGGGGACCCAACACAGTCAGGCACCTTCTGGGGATGGGAGAGGGAACATTTAAGAACTCCACGGGTCAGTTCTGAATTCATCTGAAGATACAACAGTATAAAGGCAACTTTTTCCTGTTGGCAGATGTCAGATCCTGGACGATGCCTCCATAGTTTCCGGAAACTCAGGGACTACGCTGCCAAAGGCTGCTGGGAAGCACAGGTGACGAGGGGAACTGACCTTTCTTCTTACAGCTTTTGGGCAGGGCTATCTGGGCTTTATAAAGGAGACAGGGATATAGTAAGATTGGTCCAGAGCTAGAGTTGAATCTTTTTTCTTTTTTTGTCTTTTTTTGGAGACAGTATCGCTATGTAGTTTATATTGGCCTTGAATTCACTCTGGTACAGGCTGGCCTCAAACTTGAGGCAGTCCTTCTGCCTTAGCCTCCCGAGTGCTGGGATTACAGGCATGTACTTGGCTGCAGCTGAATCTTAAAGGGGTTTAGCTCTTCGGTGTACAGGGAGAAGACCCCAGAAGTGCTTCATTCATTTCTACTCATGGCCAGTTTTGCCTCTTGGCCACCAGCCTCTTAATTCTAAATGCTAGTGGGGTACACCTAGTGCCAGAATGTATACTACTCATTCTCAAAAGTTGTCCTATAGATAATGCTTTTTTTTTTGAAGCAGGGTCTCATTATGCAGTTCAAGCTGGCCTTGAACTCACTTTGTAACTCAGGCTGGCCTAGAACTCACAGTGCTCCTCCTGCCTCAGTCTCCCAAAGCTGGGATTATAGGTGTGTGCCACCATGCCCAGCTAGTAATACTTGTTTTGACAATGAAAGTTGAAGCTACCGGAAAGAGAGGGGCATACGAAGTTAGTAGCTAGCCCTGCTCAAATCATTTAGCCAGGAAATCAAGGATTTGTTGTTGTCTTTTACCAGACCATCTCCCCTTGCACCTGTAAAGAGGTTTCAGAACAAATAAGTAAGCCCCCTTCCCCCTTGCAGAGTAACTAGAAGTGTGATAGAAAATCATCTACACTCACATGCTAGGGAAGACGTCATAAATCAATAGATGGCTTAGTCTGATGTGTCACAGAACGTTGTGTTCCTGTCCAAAACAATTACAAGGAATACTACATATATAAGAAGTATACTTCTAGAAGCTCAGAGTAATCATAATAGTTAAGATCTTCATGAGTAAGGGCCGTGGTAGGTTCTCAAAAAAGAAGAGATAAATATAACTGTGTTAAAATGCAGAACAAAGCCAGGTATGGTGGCACTCATCTAAAATCCTAGCACTCAGGAGGCTGAGGCAAAAGGATCACTGCAAGTTTGAGGCCAGCCTGGGCCACATAGTGAGTTCAGAGCCACCCTCAAATACATAGGGAGACTTTGTCTCAAAAAAAAAAAAAGGCTGGAAGTGGTGGTGTACGCCAGTAATCCCAGCACTTGCCCATAATCCCAGCACTTGGGAGGCTGAGGCAGGAGAATGACTGAGTTCAAGGCCAGCCTGGGCTACAAAATGAGCTCAAGGCCAGGTGTGGTAGCCCACGCCTGTAATCCCAGCACTGGGGAGGCTGAGGCAGGAGGACTGCAGTGAGTTTAAGCCCAGCCTACGCTATAAAGTCAGTGAGTTCTAGCCAGCCCGAACTGCATTGTGAAACGCAGTCTCAAAAAGACAAAAACAAGAAAAATGAAGAAACAAGTACACCTTAAATATTTTGGGCTGATTACATTAGCAAATTTATTTTTTTTATGTTTTTGTATAGATAGCTAATAATTCTTGACAACAGATATTTTTAATAATAATAGTTTTTGCTGGTGAAGTTAAGATAAAGAAAGTGTTCCTGTGAGTGGTATAAAAATCAGCACAAGGCTTTCAGAAAGTACTTCGGTGGGTATACCAGAGCCTGGGTGCTCCTGTGGACTCACTGGGTAAGGAAGTAGATATTCTACAACATAAGCAACAAAATTACCCTTAGTGGGAAAGTACGTGGAATATGCCTATAAATGTTTAATATGCATATAGATGTTTAATAATCTACAGAAACACTTATGTTATTGTTAGGTAGGCAAAGAAAAATATACATATTAATGGTCCCAGATACATGCATATGCATATATATGCATATAGCATACACATGCACACAAATGCCTAGTAAAATCCAGAAGGAAATGTATAAAAGGGGTTGACAGGGACTACCAGTCTTAATGGATGCTTGGTAGGTGAGTGCCAAGTGCTGGCCCAAAGGCGGATCACATACCATTCCATGAAAAAGGAAACTGAGGTGTCGAGAGGTTTCCAGTTTGCCTGTGGTCACATACAAATCGAGATTTTGGTTTGGGTTTTTTGTTGTTTTGTTTTGTTTTATTGTTGATGTTGTTGTTTTTTGTGACAGGGTCTCTATATAGTTGAGGCTGGCCTTGAACCTACTATGTAGCCCAGGCTGGCCTCCCATTCACAACAATCCTTCTGCCTCAGCCTCTCGATTGCTGGGATTATAGTCGTGTGCCGCCACGCTTGGCCTTTTGTTTTGTTTTGTTTTGTTTTGTTTTGTTTTTTTCTTTTTTGAGACAGGGTCTCACTATGCAATTCAGGCTGGCCTTGAACTCACTTTGTAGCCCAGGCTGGCCTTGAACTTTTGAACTTATGACATCCTTCTTGCCTCAGCCTCCCGAGTGCTGGGATTACAGGCATGTACTACTGTGCTCTGCTTGAGTCCAGATTTTAAAGCCAAATCATCTGAGCACCCAGCCAGCTCTGTTTTGTTGTTGTTCTTGGTTTTGTTTGTGATGCTGGTGGTCAAATCC